AGAACCTGGCCCGGTAGCGCGTGACCCTTGCTACTCCATTGGCAGAGGTGCTGCCCGCTGTAGTCCGAGCAGACCACGTGGAAGCACGCATGGCACTCTGGAGGGCATAGAGAACCGCACATGCAACAGCATAAATTGCGTACAATAGTGGACTCGCGAATGGTGCCGGTATCCTTATCAAGGACACGCTGCCCGCTATCGCCGAAGCTCTCGTGGCCGACTAAATTCGAATAGACACCATCCTCTGCCATTAGATCGTGAGCGAGAACGCTATTCACCGATGGTGCGCCATTCTGTTGCGATGGCGAATGCTCGCACGAGCACAGATATTGATGGAACGAGGATGTTCTCGCACAAGGGAACAATCCGTTTGGCCAAAGACGCGCGTATTCCTGGCCAAAAAGGCGCGAGTGTCGTTTGAGTAGGGACAACGCAACACTTCCTTTGGGTGATTGGTCGCTGGTAGAGACAGTTCGTGGAGTAACAGTTTGAAGATCGCTGTAAGTCCCGCTATTCGTTATAACGAATAGATTAGCGTGGAAATTACGCTGTCTGGGATATAGTTGCAGATTCGGGCTGATCGTGGTGGAGGAGGCGCTGTTCGATATCGAATTCGACGGCACGATCGTTGCGACGACGGTGGACGTCGAGGCGACGGAAGTAGCGTTTACCGAGGTGGCGCCTTTCCGCAGCATGTAATTGTCAGAGTCGACAGCTATGAGCCGCGACATAGTTGTGGACTTAGCCTTAGCGTCATCGTTCCGATTCCCCTTGACCAATACCTTGGCCGTTCCAGCGAGCTTTTCGTTTTCTTCTCTGCTCGCGCTACCTGCCGCCGCCGCCGCCGTTATCGGGCTAAAGAGATCGTGTATCCTGCCCTGTAAGTTGACCGCAGGCTGCACCTGCGAGGCAGCAGCGGTCGCAGCAGCTGCAGCGGATGCACTCGACGCCCGCTTCATCGTCCAGGCCGATCACGAACATCAAATCTCTAGCCACGACTAGGTTTTATTAAACGCTTCCACGGAAGCTGTCGAGTTCGAGTTGCGGTCTTCTGGCGAATCCTGCGCCTCCCTCGATCGACGCGAGTTGCCCCTCATTGTCGTCGCTTTCACCTTCGTGCTCACCTCGTCTCTGCCTTCTAGCGAGCTTGCTTCTCTGCTACTTACTCTCTTACACTCGTTTAGTCGTCGTCAAACTCTCATGTATAAATAACGCGATCCCTTCGGTCGAATCGTGTTGCAAGGTCGCTCATGTGTCATCAATGCTGCTTTTATCACATAGCTTCCTTTCGTTGTCCAGGAAGAGAAGAAGGAGGTCCGCCGGATTTCCAATGGAAATAATCTATTCTCGATCGACGTGATTCGAGCTGCCTTCCTCAAGTTCGTCCTTTATCATTGATATAGTCCAAGTGGAGACGGATAAACGCTGCAGACCATTAAAGAGGAGAAAATAAAAAGAAAAGAAAAGAGGAAACGAGAGAAATAGAGAGAGAAAGAGTCGCTCTCGTGGGTGTGACCTCGTGGAAATTTGTTTTCCATAAATCTCGCTCCTCGCTCCCTCCTTTCTCTCTCTCTCTCTCTCTCTCTCTCTCTCT